AAAACTCTTAGTTAATAGTGAATATGTGTTCCCTATTCTAAAGAGTTACCATGACAACTTACAGGTGTGGAACGACATAAGGGAGAGTAAATGATAACAGAATTGTCCTTTTTGGGTGGAACAACCCTTTGGATGGACTTTGTAACAACTGATTTAATGGGTATAGTTCCGAATATTAGAGAAGTGTTACTGAAAGCTGTTCTTAAAGAGCAACCAAATCAATGTCTAACTGTATGACTGAGTTATTGCTTTGTGAAAGCATGGTCCATCTTTTTAGCTAATGCATTCTTCATTATGAGCTCATCAGCATCCAGAGTCTATTGATACACCAATCCCACCCTCCCATCCCAAGAGAAGAGAGGTGGGGTGGAAAGAAGAAATCATTTTCTTTTGAGGCTGTTACCTAATATTTGACAAGTCTTTTGAGACTATTTAAATGTTTTCCTATTGATGTAAGCCTAAACATTACAGCAGAGTTTCACAACCCATGGCAAGTTGTGTTCTTTTCTTTGAAAGTAGTATTAGATTACAGTACATTGTCTCCTGCCAACTATGGAAAAAAAAAATCAATAACACGTTAATATTAAAACCTGGCTGGCTTATTACATGGCTCTCTGGAACACTTCATAATATTTCTAAGATGATGCAAAACACATTTCACAGACAGAACAGCTAATTGTGCAACTTAGTAGTTCAAATATAGTAGTTCAGTAGTAGTTTTATGGTTAAACAGATAAAAACATGTTACATTGCAGCTGATTGTTTAATACAGTGGATCACAACCAGTGGGCCTCAGCAAAATTCCAAGGGGGCAACAGGATGACTTAAAAGTATTTAAATTCCGGCTCTCTGGAACACTTCATAATATTTCTAAATATTTTTAAGATGATGCAAAACACATTTCACAGACAGAACAGCTAATTGTGCAACTTAGTAGTTCAAATATAGTAGTTCAGTAGTAGTTTTATGGTTAAACAGATAAAAACATGTTACATTGCAGCTGATTGTTTAATACAGTGGATCACAACCAGTGGGCCTCAGCAAAATTCCAAGGGGGCAACAGGATGACTTAAAAGTATTTAAATTCATAAATTATTACTAATATGTTAAATATTTTAACTGGAATCAAAAATGAAATGCTAAAAAATACATAAAATCTAAATCTTTTTTTTATCAATAAATACAACATACATTTCTTAATACTTGTGGAATCACAAAATGAATCCAATAAATCAAGTGGTTAATTCAATAAAATAATAATACATTTATTAATAAGATAATAAAAAGTTTAAAAACAAGCAGCTTTGTCAATATTTTAGTCTGTATTGGGGGGGGGGGGGGG